AACAAAAGATATACTACTCTCCCAGCTGCTGCTGCTGCTGCTGCTGCTGCTGCTGCTGCTGCTGCTGCTGCTGTTGCTGCTGCTGATGCTGCTGTGGCTTAGACACCGCTCTACTGCCTGCAGCAACAGCAAAACACAAACAAAATGCCTCTCTTCCTCCTGCTGCTGCTGCTGCTGCTGCTGCTGGTTCCCGTGCTTCTGGCAATACTGCTGCTGCTGCTCTTGTTGCTGCTGCTTCTGCTGCTGCTGCTGCTGCTTCTGCTGTTGCTGCTGCTTCCAGCAGCAGACGGGCGCCGGCTGGACTGTCGACAGCAGCAGCACCAAAACCAGCAGCAGCAGCAACACGAACAGCAGCAGCAGCAGCAACAACAACAGCAAAGAAAAACACCAACAGCAGCAACAACACCAACACCAACAGCAGCAGCACCAGCAGCAGCAGCAGCAGCAGCAGCAGCATATATATATAAACTTGCCTGTATTGTTGTTTGTGTGAGTGTGACGGCATCATGTATATTTTTTTCTGTTTTTGTTTGCTGCAGCGTTTCTTTTATCTGTTTTACTTTTGCTGCTTCGCGCTGCAGCAGACAGAACAAATGCTGCTGCAGCTGCGATCGGTACTTTAGCTGCTCGTACAGCTGACGGCGGCGGGCTGGGATTGCAGCTATTGCCTGCAGCAGCAGCAGCAGCAGCAGCAGCAGCAACAGCAGCAGCAGCAGCAGCAGCAGCAGCAGCAGCGGCAGCAGAAAGTGCAGTGAAGTAGGAGGAGGAGGAGTTGTAGCAGCAGCAGCACAAACAGCAGCAGCAGCTGCAGCAGCAACTGCAGCAGCAACAACAGCCAGAGCATCGCTAGCAACAGAAACAGCAGCAGCAGCAGCAGCAGCAACAGCAACAGCAGCAGCAGCAGCAGATACCACACCTGATGGATAGCAGCTAGCTCCTTCTTTTCTTTTATTATTTGCTGCTGCAGGGATTGTCTCCTTTTGAGTTGCTGCTGCATCTGCTGCTGCATCTGCTGCTGCTGCTGCTGCTGCTGCTGCAACTCCCTACCTCCCTCTTCTGCTGCTGCTGTAGCTACCGCCATCTCCTTCTCTGCTGCTGCTTCTGCTGCTGCTGCTGCAGCAGCAGCAGCAAACGGCTCCTCTGCGTCCGCTCCCAGCTGCTGCTGCAGCTGCAGCAGGGCCAGTTGCTGCAACAGCAGCAGCAACAGCAGCAGCAACAACAACAGCATCAACAGCAGCAGCAACAGCAACAGCGACAGCAACAGCAACAGCAGCAGCAGCAGCAGCAGCAGCAGCAGCAGGCCAAGCAAAAACAATAAAACTAGCATACAAAAAAAAATAAAAAAAAAAAAATAAAAAAAACAAATGAATAAACAAATAAACAAAGCAAACAAACAAACAAACAAACAAAAACAAAAAAATAAAAATAAAAATAAAAAAAAAAAAAAATAAAAAAAAATAAAAAAAAGAAAGACAAGAGCCCTCACCTGCCCCTCTATATAACAGCTCAGCAGCTCCACCAGACAGCACTGCTTGATCAGCTGCTGCTGCAGCAGCAATCTGCTGCTGCTAGCAGCAGCACATGCTGCTGCTGCCTGCAGCAGCCGGAGGCAGCAGCTCCTCACGCTGCTCTCTAACCCTCCTTCTCCTGCTGCTGCTGCGACCCCACAGTGAAGACAGAGAGTTGTTTTATAAACGCAGGAGACAAAGACAGCCCC